GAGAGAGAGATCGAGAGAGAGAGAGAGAGAGAGAGCCGAGAGTCGAGAGCTATGTCTCGAGCGAGGAGTGAGAAGAGAGAGATGAGAGAGAGAGAGAGAGAGTTAGCCAACATACCCCGCACTCTGCCGATATGGCGGAGCGCCACTATCGCCATCTGTTGTAAAACGTGCGAGATGGACAAAATTACCACTACATGCATCTTGCATGTGTTGTGTACGTGTGATATATGTGTGCGCATGTGTTGTATACGTGTGAATACGTTTAGCACGATACTACTATGTATGCGTGGTCGATGATGATAATGATGATGATAATGATGATATGATGACGGGGACGTTTCTTAATAGAATTTTTCATATTTTGACTTTGCATTTATATATCTCTGCTTACAAATCACGTAGAGCAGAAATAAAGACACTTTTATTATATAATTCGAACTCAATCTATCGATTAAGTCTAGTATAAACTCGATTGCTTCAGCCATTATTGAGGATTCGAAATATTATAAAGACTCAAATGTCCGACTCGCGTTAAGATACACGGTGTCTCCGCTACGCCCTTAACTGGTCGCGAGACACTACCGTGTCTCTTGATCTTTCACATTAATTAGATGAATAAATTAATTATTCAGAGATATTTAGAATAGATTAATGATAAGTATTTTTTCCGTTTTTAAAGCATTATATAAGAAAAGTTAAATTAAATATTTCAATAAAGCGCTATAAACATGGGCATCCGCAGGATTTTTTCAGGATGCATTAATTTTTTTTTCCTAATTTTTTGTTATTTTAATTTTTTAATATTAAATATACAAAAAATTCCAGTGTTCAAAAGGAGAGCAAAGCTGAATTTTGTACCGATTCCAACTAACGATGCAATTCGATGATCAGTGCAAGTTATAAAAGGTCGGAAATTCCTATTGTGTTAGAATTGAATTTCCACACACAAACTCATCTTTTCCCCAGGCAAGAGAGCGCGATAGTTAATAAAAGCTAGATGGGTCGCGCCGAAGCGCGTAAATGTTCAGCAGAATCGCGAAGCGTCTTCCTCCACCTACGTCCGTTACTCGTACGCATTACTGGCGATTACGAACCGTGAAACGAGCCGAGGGGAGGAAATCGTTTTAAGCGCAATTCGCGCGGTAATTCGCTTTCCATTCCGCTCTACGACGCACGCAACGATGCCAAACCACGTGCGACATCCTCGCGCGCGTCGAGCAGCGCACGAATCGCTTGACGTATTGACGACCGTATTTTTTTTTTTTTTTTTTTTTTTCGGAGATAATTAGGTCCGCCAGGATCCTTTTTGTCCTTTTCGTGCGGGGTTAATTGCCTCGCTCGTTTCCTATCCTGGAGACACGCGTTGCTGGATATCCTTCCGGCCCGTAGGGGAGTTCTTTCTGTGTTTTACTCTCGTTGGAATGTGCGTTTTTATTTTGACGTGTATTAAAGTTAATGACTCATTTATAGGAATTCGAAAGTGAGAGAAGAAAAAACGGGATAAACGCAGGCAAAGTATAGAACGATCGCGTTTTTTAATTATACACTTCTCTCCCATTTGTATATCATTATTTTGCACATATGTGTAAAATATAATGATAACATTTTTTTATTACTTATAAAATTTGATGATTGGCACAATAATGGAGTATTCCACTTCACCACAAATTATATCTGATTCATCACTGACTTTTTCAAATTTGTATTCATTATCATCATTACATCAATTTAACTGGTTTTCGTCTCCTTCTAAACTGAAAGTAAACGTCGACAACGAATTTATTTATCCCATCATATACGCGATGACGAAATTACGACACGTTAGACTGCTCCAATTTCCCCGTTTTTTCTCATTCGCACTTCCGTTTTCCGACAGGAGGAAACTGGGAGAGAAACGGAGAGTGCGACACAGCGAGACGGACGAAGCGCGAGAGAGTGAATCCGGAGTCGCACGGTAATTGGCGACATCCGCCATCGGTCGCACTTGTACGCGATCCAATTTAAAGGCACGAAGCCGTACTAGAGAGAAAAAGAGAGAGAGAGAGAGAGAGAGAGAAGAACGGGCCCATTCTTTCATTGTATACGCGCGCGCAATACGTTTCGTGCGTACGCGCGTCCGCCCCATTCATCGGCCTCGCGTTGTTTTTTATTTGCCGTTACCATCTCCGTCGATCGCCGCGAGTTAGAAGCGACGAGGTCCCCTGGAACACCAGCGGAAGTACTTCATTGTAACGAGGGACTGTCGTCCCTTCATTTTCGTCTCCGACGTCCGCACCGGTCATACCGTTATAGGACTGTCGATTGTTGTTCCGAGATCCGTGAGCATTCTGTACGATTAGATTTTGCCGAGGGGTGTAAGTGGACCGATCCTTCAAGCAGCCGAGAAGATCAAACTATCTGTCGCTCTTTTTTTATTTTTTATTTGCTTCACTTTTTATCATATTTTTGCTCATATTTTATTTTTCTATTATATAAATTATAAATAATATATAATGTTAATTGATGAAAGACCCTGATTCTATCAGTGTAAACTATTTCATGTGGTATAGACGACTATTTCTGCTCCAATTTTAATTAAAAGAATTATTGTGCAAGTTGACCGATCTTTGAAGTAGCCGAAGAGATAAAACTATATATCTATGGCTCTTAATTATGACACTGAAGTTTGCATCGTTGGAATGCAACGATTTTAATTTCTCAAACAAACTTATGTAGTATAATAGACAAGATTTACTTGCATGATTAGTGCTGAGATTCCGCAAAAACATAATGAAACAATTGTTTCACCCTCGGAATAAACATGCAAGTAAATTTGGTCTATTATGGACTGCACAAGTTTTTTGAAAAATTTAAATCGTTGCATTTTAGATGCAAACTTCAGTGTCATTCTTAATTTTGCTTAATTTTTTACTTTTCTATTATATAAATTATAGATTTATACATAAATGTTATTAAACATCCCTGATTCTACCAACGTGAATTATTTCAGATTTGGTACAGATGACTAAAACTTCTGCTCCTATTTTAATTAAAGAATTGTACAAGTTGACCGATCTTTGAAGCAGCCAAGGAGATCAAACTATATCTGTCGATCTAAATTTTTTATGCACTCATTTTATTTTTCTATTATATAAATTATATGTTAATATATACTGTTACTGATGCGGTTCTACTAGCGTAACCATTTCATGTGGTATATAGACTACTAAAATTTCTGCTCCAATTTTAATTAAAAGAATTGTGCATGCATATGTTCTAAATAAATTTAATTTAATGATCAGACACACGAGATTTCTTACCTGATCGATCTTACATTTCACCCCGCATCCCCTCGAAACTCAGTCGTCCGTTCGATTCTGCAATCACACAAATACGTATTTTATTAAATAAAAAAAAACACACAAATATAATTATTTTAGGATAGATAGAATTAATATAATTGCTTAATATTCGGATGATCGGTTCCAAAAATGATGTATGCAACAGGATGTGTCATACAGGATATGTGATCAACGACATGTGATCGTTGTCAATTGAACGTAAAAATAGAGATGTTGAACAACACGACGGCGCGTCCGAACCGTGTGCGATTATGTTACGTGCAGGGGCGGTGTAAAATAAATTGAATCGCTTGCCGTCTTTAAAAGACGTTAAACTGTTCCATCCGGTTCAATTGACACCCCCGGTATTTGACGCAGCGCGCAGGAATGAATCGCCGAATATAATCGTTCCCCCAAGGTGCCCGGTCTTTTCCGCACTTTAATGTCGGAGATAACGCGCTGCCGCTCGTTACAGCGACTGCACCTGTACGTTACACATTTCCGGGACACAGGTGCGTGTCCGGTTCTCGATGAAACGCGCGCGAGAGTAATTGGAAAGAGCCCGACACAAGATCGGCAGAAGGGGAAAGTCGTGTACAAATATCGCTTGGAGAGAGGGTGTGAAGTGAACCATAATATATATCCATAGTTACCACCATGGGAATTTTGGAAAGCCGATTCTTCGACCGTCTAATTATCATAACATTGTCTAATTATCATAACGTATTTATTACGGAATAGGGTTTCCACCTGCGGAATGCAAATTTATATATACCAAACTGTGAGAACCTCATTTCGCTCTGTAATCAGTTTAGCAATTTTTGAAAATCAGTATAAAATCTTATTTTGCTCTTATATACCATATAATTTTGAAATAATGAAATTTTCGAAAAAATGTTGGGGGATCAAATATTACATCTCCTAAAATACTGCCCTTCCATGGCAGTAAATAAATTTGCATGTAATTATTTTTTCTTACATGCCTGTGTACAATTTTTATAAATATTTGTTCATATATTAGTTGATTATCTAAAATATCATTGTACAAGTAGAACGATGTGCGCGGATTAAGCTTTATTAAAATAAAGTATCTTAATTATTCTTTTCACGTTTGCGCTGAACACACAGATGCGTGTGTACGTGTTCTATATATAAATAGTTGTACAAGTATTTTATACGACGATGCTAACTTTAGTTTAACTTCGAATTTCCGTAATTAGATAATGCGCTCGGTCGACAAATTACGTCCTGCAATGAACTAAATTTCCGCGGAGCGGTAATAATTCAGAAATTCTGCGACACGGAATATTGTAGATACGCTCGTAGCGTGTTTTCATCTCGCTTATAACAGCCAGCAAGCGAGTTCAATGATAAAGGTTCAAACTCAGAGAGGAGAGGGAAACGGTAACAGAGTGTTTTCGCATACTATCTCGCTTCTCTCGTGGATCTATCAATTTTACGACGATTTTTTTATCCCGCTCTCGTCTCGTGGGAAATATCTTCCCGCAATAAGCGTCAAGCATTTAACTTTGCACTCGATTAATCAATCCGTTTCGTGCGTCGATGAGGAACGTGTGCCCGCGTTTATCTCTGCGTTTTAACACTACATTGTTGTAGGTATCTTATTGTTCAAAAAGTTTATTTTTGTGCAACGCGCGTATATTGACATTGCGAGAAAATTGCGAAATAACCGTAGTTCACGCGAAATAATTGACATAATCTCACATACTTTTGTTTACTTCATCGTAAATTATTTTAAATTTGTTTGAAGAAAGCAAACGGGACTAATGAAAGAAGTAAGATATAAATATAGAGATAAATATCACAAGATGAAATTTGTGTACAAAATGTTTTTCATTTCTTTAAGTTTGACTTGATTATTTTTAAGACTTTGTACTTATTCATAATTTGCGAGAACGCATATAAAATACATAAATAATTGCGTAATCTGTAGAGTGCTGTAATTATTTTTTTTCAGAATCTTATAATTTTTTTTCCTAATGTAGATAATATCGTTTTGCAATACTGTTTTGTAAATAGAACATTTTTTATCAAAAAGAACTTACGCAAGCAATAATGAATAAAACAATCGTTGCTTGTGGCAAAACAATTCTTCAAAAGCCTTGCTTCTCTTCTTCCGAGTGTTAGAGCAATTTAACGGAATAATTCGGCTTTTTCAATTAATTTTCATCTTCCTAATTGATTTCTCTTCGAGGAGACGCCTCGACTTCTTCTTTCGCTAAGTTCCAACGGTCTTAGAGAAAAAAGAGGGAATTACCTGTTAAAGAGCAGTCTTATCCGATCTAAGGTAATCGCTTAATGCATAGGTGCCTGTCTTTTGTACGTTCTTCCGTCGTGGTCAACATCTACGTCACGCTCGGCAGCATCGGCCACCTGTTGCGTCTTCCTACCGCATAATCTCGAAGATGGAAATAATAGCGGATGTCAAACACGGAAAGATCTACTACACGGAAATGTTGGTTCACTATACGGAAACAATGTTAGAAGCTTCTGTCGTAAATATTCTTGGTGGGGAAAGTTCGAAGAATTTCGAACTATTTTTTTCCTATTATTAATACAATTACACGTATATATTTATTTACATTTATATTTATACTATACATATTTTTTTCCTCTTTTTTTTCTCTCATCATCTCTATTTTAACATATCAAATGATATCATATGATTAAAATCAAGAGATGCTCTTGCTTTATTAATTTTTTATATTTGCAGACTGAAGCCGAATAAAAAATAAAAAATTTTTCAAACCTATAAGAGACGACGAAATATATAACGTTTGAGTGAATATTGAGATTGAGGAGGAGGATTTCTTAAAGTTCCAGCAAATCTACCCATGGCGTGCAGTTACCACGGTAAAGCTGAAAGGAGCGAGAAACGGACATGGAAAACTGATAGTTGTCGACGAAATAATACGACATGACGCTGTTATTTTGCACACATTCTTTGCAACGGCGCCCTGTTTCAAGTTTAGGTACAGGGTGTCGGATTTTTTCCTGCAGTCAACAACGTGGACGGTCGCACGGTGTGGATGTACACCGGCCGGTGCCACTCGTTGGAACCGGTCGGTCACTCCTCGGTTGCAACAGCGTCGAAAGGATCGAGCTCTCTTGCCCTCAACGATCAAAATCACTGATGCCATAAGAGAGAACAGTGGACACGTTAAAAATATTGAAAATCACGATTTTAAAATTACAAAAATTATAATTAGCAGTCACCCTTCAATTCTCGCCAGATAGAATAAGAGTAATAAATTCCAAACACCTTCCTCTCGACCAAACTGGCAATTCCTCTTTATTACTTTAAAATCACACGGTTCCACTATATTTTAATCCTTCTCAAGTGATATATTTGTAAAAAAGAATAATAGTTAAATTCAAAGAAGTTATAAGAGAATAGTGCCAAATAGACAACACGTCAAGTATTCCACGTACAAAGAGAGACTGAAAAAATATATTGGAACAATATATTGGATCGCCACGAAATGTCATTATTAAAAGAATTATTTGCTACAAATATTTGAAAATATGAAAAATTTGGAAACGTCCTACATCTTAAAATAATTTTTTATTATATACTTTTTATTTGTGTATATGTGTATGCACTTTATTATCTCATTTTCTGATTTTTTAGATGTTCTTCACGTGTTTACATTTAACAGACGTCGTTGGTGTCATTTGAATGCGCAAACATTTTCTTCCACGAACCACGTCAATTATTCTCATATTACGTCGAGAATTGAAAGGATAGCATCGCGGTTGAAGCTGTAATTATTAGCGTGGTGACAGGAAGTTCTCCTAGCTTCGATTTCGCAATCGCAATGTGCATTTTAATTTCTTTTAATGCTATTCAATTTTTACGTATTCCAAGTTGCAGGTAATAAAATTTGAATAATTATTTATAATATTATGTGTTTATAATATTTTGCATAGTATAATTTTAT